TAACTCATAGGACAGAGTAGAACTGCCCCAGTGGGCTTCCAAGACTGTAACTCTCTCTGGCCGTAGAAAGCCTCCTCTTTCTCCCAAGGAGCAGCGGGTGGCTTTGAACCAATAACCTTGAGTTAGCAGCTGAGTCCTACTATGAGACTCATGGGGTTGCCTTGAGTCATCAACTTAACAACAGCCAGTTTAGTTTTATGGGTTTTTTTCGGGGGGGAGGGGGAGTACTGTGATATCATCGTATTATCAAATCATTTCAGGAGAAGAGCTAGATAAGTGGGCTATTCTTAAAACTGAATTTAATTTTGAGGAGCCGCGCAGCAGGACAGGAGCCAAGGCCGCTCTCTCGCCTTGTCCGTGTCGGTGCCTCTGACTGGCGACATGCTTGGCGCCGGGCAGTTTGTTCCTGATTCACCAACAGAAACGCCCTGTCTGTGTGCGGTTCCCGTCTTATCTTTCAAGATGCTGCTGTCAACGGGCTCCCTTGTGGAGAGGGTTTGCAAAGAGCGCAGGGCTGCAGGCAGACCCTCTTAACTGGTTGAGCCCAGCTGTGGTCTGGTTGTAAGGAGACTGCAGGGGGTATTTTTGGTGGGAGGTCTCAAGAGAATTGCCTCCCTTATGCACACATCAGGCGAAACTAGAGGGGTGTGGCAGTTCTGCGGATGTCACACAGCAAGGCGGTGTCAGGGGACCTCAGGGAAACACCAGCCATGAAGGAAGAGTCAGAGGAGGCGGAAGCTAGGGAAGGGGCAGGGTGACAGGACCCCCAGGGGTGGTCCCGGAAGGGGCAGGCTGACCCCCACTAATGGCTCGTCTCTGGATGTCCCGGCAGGTCTTCATCACGCAGACCCTGCTGCGGACGCCACCAGTCATGAGCCCCACTGGCCAGCTGCCCCGAGCCACGGAGAAACAGCTGCTCATCTACCTGCGCGTGGCCACCTGGAACCAGATCCTGGACCCCTGGGTCTACATCCTCTTCCGGCGCGCTGTGCTCCGCCGCCTGCACCCTCGCCTCAGTGCCCGGCCCAGGCCGCTCTCTCTCAGGCCCCAGCTCACCCGGGAGCCCGTGCGCCAGTAGGACTTGGGGTGGACACCGAGGGTGGCTCTGGAAGGACAGGCAGCGACTCTTGCCAGCCGGCTTAAGCCTCCTGTCTGTCCTGCCACTTAGGTCTGCCTGTCTGGGTGTTCAGGAGCCCAGGGCGCTGCAGGGACAGTGGCCTCTGTAGGGTTGGCGTCTCCTGACTCATGGACCTGCCCCCAAGCAGGCCATGCAGACTCCTTCGTAATGACTTTTCTCAATTTTAATCGTAGCCTAAATATAGCCATAAATGCTTCCGATGTAACATTTCTTAGGTGATATGAATACTAACAGCAAAATTGGTTTTGTAAAATCTTTCTATATTGAATTCCAACATCATGAGTTAAGAGGCAGCGCCTAAAATTTTTTTTTAATTAAAAAAATATTTCTTTGCCTTTTAAAATGTTTAATCTGCTTTTAAGAGAGAAAAAAATGTAATCCTTTTCTAAGAAATCTCAAACTATAGATACAATGTCTACAGTTACCATTACGAATTGCTACAATGTTGTACTAAAAAGCTGGGAAGGTCGACAAATACCAGGGAGTGGAAAACACCCCCCCCTACGCCTCCCTGGCCACAGGGAGCGTTGTGATTCGTGCAGGCGGAGTCACGTGACCGGGATCCGCGTTATGATTGGGTGATCATGACAGCGCCCACCTGAGCGCCATTGGAAGGTTCAGGGACTCAATCCGCGGCAGCTTTTGAGCCTCATAGTCTTGTGGGAACGCAGCGGATACATGTAAGCTGGGCTTTTTTGTTGGGTTTTTCTTTTTTTAATGATCACTGACTACAGGAATATTTTTATTAAAAAATATAATAAAGTTCTGATGAAACACTGCCTAACAGTTTTATAGACAATCATGTTTCGTGACCCGCCCCCTCCTCCCCCCTCCCAGTGTCATCAGGTGGGTCCAAACCCCTCCCCTCCCCTTCTTTTTTAAAAATCATTTTATTGAGGGCTCATACAACCCTTATCACAATCCATCCATCCATTGTGTCAAGCACATTTGTACATTCGTTGCCCTCATCATTCTCAAAACATTTGCTCTCCACTTAAGCC